AAGATATTAGGTTAGCAGTGTCGGGTGTGGTGATGGTTCACAAATTGGATCTTATGTTTCTCGTGGCTCAAGACAAACGTCCTCGGAGGGTATCGTTTACCGCCTAATTTAACGGGACCTTATGCAGTTCACCACTCCAATTCTTAGGACATAGGTAACCGGTTCTCATAACTATGGAGTTCACCCGGCCTGTTGCTCCCCACACAAAATAGTAGGTCATAGCAAAGGAAAAGTAGGAAAGGCTAATCAACGGTTTGATGTAAATGTCTTCACCCAAATTATACCAAGCAGTATCGTCGGCACGTATCTTGAAACGCCACACTCCACATGAGCAATGTACAATCCTACACAGCCAAAACTCAATCCGTCGGTATTGTCTTTGTTTTCTCACCTTTTAATTAGAGCTGGAAAACCGAGTGCATCGTAGCGATCTCCAGGACAGTGAATGTGTCATTATAAGAGTTTCGTGGGAACCAAACATCGCAGTAAACCAGAAATCAGCCAGTAAATTTTATTTTTGCTTTAAGAACGAGAAACACTCTGCGAAATTTGCGTTGCGTGAGATGGACATAAAGGAGTGATAGAATCCCTCCCAAAAGAGGAAGGAATCGAGTGAAGGAACACTTATCTGTAAGTTTGAAGCAGCACTTGTACTGCGTAATGAATTAACTTGTAAGAATAGAAAAGGCGTTGATTTTCAGGACTCGGGCACTAGTAACGTCAGTATAACTATTTTTTGAAAGATGTTTCCTTTCATCCATTCCCAATTCAGAGAAATAAACTGGAGTGAACCGAGTTTCTACCTACGTGAGCATGTTCTGTCACTGGGTTTCTAATCGGACTGACTATGCAACGCCTTGTACTCTTAAAAGTGCCCAACCCAGTTTATCGTGCTTTCCGGTCCATGATTGCCTATTCTGACTCCGCTCCTCGACGTACTCGCGTAAGATCATCGCCTGTGCTCGCAGTATTGCTTGTGCTAAACGCCTGTTGCGGACAGCCACCAGAAACACAACATTACTTGGTGTTCGGGTATCTCATTCACTTTGCACTGTATCATCTTCCAAACCGGCCTCATGTAGAATACACTGCGCGCAGTTTCATCTCCCANTATCTGGAACCGGATAGGTTTGCTTGTGCCAATTCTAACGAACGTATAAAATGAAGGTTTTCGGAGCTGTCAGTGTCATCAATGAAACACTCGTAGAGAGAGGGACGTGAGCAGTCACTTCGATAATAGAATACTGATCGAGTGAAGTGAATTAAGATCACAACAGTCATTCTGTGTACACTCGCTTCCACTTTCATTGCTAAATGAAGAAAATTCGAGGTGAGGGAGTGGAGAGATTCATGTCGTGAAAAATCCGGAAATTTAACTTTGACATCGATCAGCGTTGGCAAAACAGAAGTGAGTGTGGGAGGCAGCAACAGCGCCAAAAACCTCGAAATTTCCAAATAAAAATCACGAAACAAAGCAGTTTCCCAACTCCCGACCCTGCAATCGAACGTTAACCTGAAAAAGAATATCTCAATATTCAGGCTACCAGCACCGAACTGTATTGATCCGGACAGTCTTAAGCATTAGCTACACATCCTTGACAATTATATGCTTTAGTTTACTCCGCACGACCGTCAGTCCAGCCGCATCATATGCTCACATGCATAGAAATTCTGTTCAATCTAATTAACCTCGACATATTTAGAGTGGATGAAAAGAAACATATTTTAATAAACAGCCTTATTTACATCACTGGTGTGTGAGTTCTCAATATGGATACGATTGTTCATACTTACAAAATAATTCACTGCGCATTGCAAAAAGGTACTTGAAACCTGTGGACATGTATTCTGGCACTTGATATCCGCCTCTTTTTGAGGTCATTCATTATCTTTCACATTTTTTTAGATTCAATAATACTCACTCAGATCGATGCGTTCCATGCTGGTGGACTTATTTTTGGCGCAACTCGAATAAAACCGTTGTGGAAGGAATGACCTCGTGCATTGGTGGTATGCAGACGATAACAATCGGCAGTTGTTTGCAAACAATGTTTGAAGGGCGAGACCCTGGAAACTCACTTGCATAATACCCCACATCACATAGGAGATTTGAAGGCCAATTGCACAAACAGCAAGCAGTGCGTAACGTTGTTTAGGTGTTCGATCGTTTAGTCCTAGATGCAAACCAAACCACCGTTGTACAAGCTGGGCACAATCGAGTGAAGCCGTATCCCCAGTGGAGAAGGACAAACTATTGTCAACTTTGGTTTCATTATGATCCGAAATGTCCGGTTCAAAACATCCGCGAAAAAGTCTGGATGCACAAAGATGATGTTCACCTAATCGAATTTAGGGGAAGACGTAAAAATGACAGGACAGGAAATAAACGATGATACGAGAATAAATGAAGATACCAATGCGTCCAATTACAATGAGCATTTAAACTTCTTGAAGCTGCTTCGAATAAATCAGGCATTGTGCGAAAAATATTGACAACTATATTCGTACACCTCCCAAATACTTCATATAGGCTGAAAAAGACCATCCATCGGTTTCAGATTGAAAGCTTTGAATGCTTTCGGAGTCCGATCATAAATTGAAGCTCTTACGCTGTTCAGTGACACTCATCATCACCGTACAGTGAAGCCAACTCCACGGACCACTACCAAACTCGCAAAGCAAACAGATCTATACCTTTTCAACTTCAAATGAATCCGTCGTAACTTCAAGTGAATCTAACCAATCACACTCTATTGGAAACCCCACAAGATTATTGGTGTTTCGGCCGTCAAATGTCACCCATTGGATCGGGTCTTCCTCCGTGGGTGAGTTCATAAAGCACGACAATGGTTGATACTGTCACAACCATAATGAGATCAAATAAATTCGACAGGTTTCTCATCCAGATTATTTAGATGGAAAACAACAAAAGGTGGATTCCTTATCTGAATGAGCAGTCTGACCTATTTAGTCATGCTTTATGAACATCCAGTGATACGATCTAATAACTGGGATGACGCAACAGTTAGTCTGTAGAAAAATAATAGACTGGAAACAATACAATAGTCAAAAGGGTTTATGTTGGCAACAATAGTTCGTAGGTTTATTACTAAGTTATTGTGTTATAGTTGCTAAGAGAAGGCGGAAGATTGATAATTTAGTTTACTTGTACAAAATATGATCATCATTGCTAGATGAGTTTACTTACCTGATACTTTTATGAAAACTAAGTATCCCGTGACATAATCTATTTACCGCCTTCGAGTAACGCAATTTTCAGGGAACCTCGGTATTCGAAGCTTCATTTTGGTGTTAACCATTGTACTCCACACCTCAATCAGCCAGTTGGGTCTATCCCATGGTTGAAAAGCTGCATGAGGGATTCAGTCTAGGCCCTCAGTATCCTAATGAGTAAATTTCACTGAGGTCGCTATACTCACCTCAGGTTGAGTAAGGGACTACAACGAACTAATTAGGCGGTTCATCACCAACGACGGCGTTCGTCAAGAGAACCCTAGTTCGCGATCCCATTTTTTCGTACATGTATTTCGATTATCGGTATTTACGTAGTATAACCGGAGCGGGATGGAGCGAACGAGTATTCTGAAGGTAAGCCGTCATGTGTTTGGGTGTTTATCAGGGATAAACCTGCTAACTCATCGAATTCAGACTGACAGGCTTCACTGGCTAGGGTACGTATTGCGTATGCCCAAAATCAGCTGCCATTGAGGATCTGGTGCGGAAAGCCGACCGCTCTGTTTCGACCTTTCGCTGTTCGTTAAAAACATCTCACAGTTATTAATCACTGCAAGATTGACTAAAGGAAAGATGACAAAACAGATTTGGTTTGACTGAAGTTTGAGTTTTCAGTAATCGTGCGAACAAATCAACCGTCTTAATCCGCTAAAATAAAAACTGACAGGTATCTGTGAAAAAATGCTTTATTTACTGCAAACTGGGCTGATTCAGAGCGGAATGAAAATAATCCGGAAGACACTAGTGACCACAGAGAAGTTGAGTAATAATGTGAAATGTCTACATTACCGCCCAGCTCAGTTTAGAGTAGAAAAAATGTCACTGCTCTCTAACTTTGTAATAGGTAGCTCGTTTGCAGTCTTTTGTGGTAACACATACGGGAACTATACTTCAAAGTGGCATCCGCGGTGCCACTGAACCTCTTCCCTTATTCAACGTTCAGTATTAGGACAACCGTGGGTAGAATATTTTGCCGACCTATACTTAATACCTCATGGAGCACCTGGTACAGAGTTATCATCGCTTGTGGGATCATGGATAACTGTAACTCATTCATATCACCACCAGTCTCGTTCACTAAACTATAAAGATCACACAAATAAAACCAGTATGTGAAAAGATGCGACGGGTTGAGCAATGATGCAATAAAGATAAAAACCTATGCGATGAAGCTGGGTAGCGAAGGGAGAAGCCGCAGGTAACGGATTGTTGCCATTGACATTGTGGATTGAATGTATTAATCAGCCAGGGAATGACAGAGAAAAATATGATGTCCGTTAGCTAGTGAATAGATTTGAATTCGATCTTACTATTAAGGTGAAATACTGTTACTTCTTTCACCATTGTTACCAATGTTAAACAGCTTGTGAATTGTGCATTTCAATGTCAGAAATATGTAAGCAAACGCATTTGATTCAAAGGAATCGGTTTTATTCGAGAGAAACTCGGTCTCAATGGAATTTACTCATTGGGTTATTGAGGGCTTAGACTAACTCCACTCATGTAATGAATCATGCTCACATTCACGTCTGGGTATGGTGACCGACTCATCGATCCATCTTGACGTGATTCGCTTCCTTACCGGACCGACAGGTCAACTAACTCCCGGTTAGTTCATTCGTATCTATGGCGCACACTTGATCAACGATCACGAACATAACGTTCCCGGGTGGAACGGGTGGGGGGCTGGGGGAGAACGGCCCATCTCGACCCACCCACCCCCTCCCGAAACATTCAACCTCGCTCGGTAACTCACTAAAAATGTACTTTTGTTTGTTTACGGGGAAGTGAGTTCATTCAGAGTGGACGGGGTTTAGACGGACCCGGTTCAATGGGTGATATCTGACGGCCGAAACACCAATAATCTTGTGGGGTTTCCAATAGAGTGCGATTGGTTGGATTCACTTGAAGTTACGACGGATTCACTTGAAGTTGAAAAGGTATAGTGCAAATATGAAGGCAGATAGAGATCGTACCTATCTTGAAGGAGGGGGAACGAAAGTAAACCTTTAACATCAAAACACAGAGCACACAATCTAACTGTGCATACATACCTTTTCAAGCATTCTGGACTGATAAGAACTGACGACAAGAACTCCGCTGTTGCCATAACCTTCGATTTCTTCAGTCAACCAGTTGCGGAGTGTTTTGGGCCCCAACATGGAAGGTATCAGACACCTACTCTACCTAACAGCTCTATGCATTTATTCATGCCTCGTCGGAATGTCATCCGTTGACCTCCACGTGGTTTCTTCCAGCCCGGAGCGGTCAAGGAGAATAAAGCGCCGTGCGGCAGACGACAGCTGGGCATACGCGATACGTGCCCTAGTCAGCGAAGCCTACTAATTTGAATTCGATGAGCTAGCAC